TTTGTGTGTGGATTGTGCTCCCAAACCTGGGAGTCCTTGGAGTCTCCTGTTTTCCGCCTGCACTTGGGTTCAACACTTACACCGCAGATCCCGTCAGTGCAAGTATTCTAATTGAAATAAGCATATAATAAATTGTCTAGAATAAAAAGTTAAAAACAAAAATGTCAGGTTTTATTCATGAACATGATGGTAAAAACAAAAATTGTACAATGAACACTCCAAAAATGAGTGCTTTAGCATTTTCTATGAAATCCCAGCCGAATAATTGCTGGAATTTGCTGAACAAGCTGAAACTAAACGGTTGAAACTTAAAATATCCGAGCACCAGCTAAAAGGAACAAAACACTAAATAAAAGCTAAAATTAGCACAAGACCAGGTAAACACGATCTGGGAGCTACGAGCAGCAAAGATTAAACGGATTCAATAGCACAAAGTAAGCAGAAGTAGTTAAATTGCATAAAATGTTCAAATAAACAAGAAAGCAATACCGTGAAAGTTATTGATCACAAATATTCAAAAGGATATGTTTCAGTTTTGGTCAAGGATAATAAATGTATGAAAGCATTCCGATTAAATAATAATAAAAACATTTCCAAATTCTTTATATAACCTTTTTATCAGAATGAGATTGTAGACTTCACGCTTCGTCGATTTCTGTTTGTTATTCTTATTTTTCAGGTTCCACCCATGTTTGCTCTCATGTTATTACAGCCAGCAGGTCAGAGACGCACGAGTGATAATGATGTATTTTATTACACCGTTTACATTTCCACAACAATTTACTCTGCATCAGGGACTTAAAAAAAAAAAAAGATTTTAAGAATCTGCACTTTAGATGACAAGACACTAACCAGGTGCTTTTACCTTCATTCAGGGATGTTAACTTTAGCCTTTAAATGGGATTTTATGTAACAAAAATTCATGCAGACAATCCTATAAAGTGGGATTAAAACATATGTTTAACTAAAAGCAACAGCATTTCCGAGGCTATAATTGAACGGATTAAAATAATCAAAATAAGCTTTATTATCGCTGAACTGAAGTACAGCGAGATTATATTCCGTTACAGTTGTCCGAAAGATGGACGGAGTGCACGTGGCTGCAGCTCCTAGGAGTGCAACCCCTTATTCTTTAGGGAAAGACCACGAGGAAAGGATAGTGGTATTACAATAAGATCTCGTCACACCTTGTCCTTGTCAGGACATGATTTAAGACATCAAAAAACTCTACCAGCAAGCACATTTGTCAACATATTACATATGCATGTGACGGTGAAATTTGTCCATGAAACACTTCCAGATAGCACCATAGTCCTGATAAGATGTTAGTGTCAGCCTCTGATAAACGTTCATAAAAGTTCACGGGGGTGGGGGGGTTGTGCAGGGGATGGATAGAGAAGAGCCTTCTTAGTTTACACACATCCCAGGAGAAATTTAACAAGTTGGCCTGCTTCTAGACTGAATGGGAAAGTCAGATTCAGATAAGCCACAGCTGTTTTTTTTGTGCAGCAGACTGTTATTTCTCGTCAGCCTTGAATTATGCTGGTACTTTCAATATCAAAAATGGCCAGATTTGTGGGCTTTCCGCTGGTGTGTGCTTATTAGCCTCCTCCAAGGTCGATTCCAACATGATGGCGAGTTCCAAAGCCACAAGTAGTCTATGAGTTTCATAAATCGCTTCCATCTTACGGTTGAGCTCGTAAGTCTGAGAGCTCGAAGCACGAACTAATCCTTCACATGAGGTTGGAAGCTTTGCCATGGCCGAAGCTGCTGCCGCCGTCTTCTTTAATAGCCGATAACAAAAGTATTCTACGGTGCCAAAAAGCAGAAACCCTGCTATCATATATCCAGTGATCTTCGGCATCCTCCTGAGACAACACAGAAAGGCATCCATGACGTACCCTGCCACGTGCGTCTCAGCGGGGCGTGAGGGTTCTCCAGGACCCTGTCGCTTGGTTGAATGATTATTTTTTGTTATCAATTGCGTTGAAAGTCCAGCTGACCAAATCTATGACAGTAATTTACAATTAGGAAGATGTGTACGTAGAGGCTCCAAAACACAAGACCGAGAGCAAAAATGCAGGAGGAAGGCAGGAGAGGAAAGAAAAAGCATCCGTCTTGATCGAGAGCGGGTGAGGAAAAAAGTGTATTTTCCTGAGTTTTGGAATTTAGCATTTAGAGCTCATTCCTTGTAAGCAAGGTAACATTTTATGTAGTCAATGAGACAGTAATATTGTGTATAATCTGTGATTTATCTGCACAGAATCATATTTTCTGTGAAGCAATACAAACAGTAACTTGATGATGGTTCCTGTTTGGACACAGATTACAAAATGGTGCTTAGTCCCTTAAATTATCCTGGAGTGAGGAGCAGAAGATGATCTTTTTTTCCACTAAACCTTAGGGCTTTAAGTAATGAACTATTAATCGTTCATGTCTAAGGTTTAGTATTTTGAACTATTCTAATGCATTGCTTCCAGAAAAGATAGATATTCAGTAGTGGTGTAACGGTACACGTGGGTGTATTGAACCGTTTCAGTATAGCACGTTCGGTTCGGTCCACGTGTGTATCGTTTCGTTTTTTTTTTTTAACTCATTCAATTTTATTAACGAGAGGTTATGCGCCGCGGAACTAAAGTTCCTAAGCGTGTTTCAGCACAACCCTATTTATTGTTGCAAAGTCTCTCAACATGCTTAACATTAGCAGCCTAGCATCTCACTGCGGTCTCCTGTTTGGGAACATTACAGCTTTCTGTTAGAAGACAAGTGCAAATCCAAAGCTGTGTATCGACGTTGTTTCACGGAGATTGAATCTGCAGCAGGCAACACGTCTAACTTGTTAACGCACTTGAAATGACATCATCCGAACGTGAACGTCTCCTCTACAAGCGAGAAAAGCAGCTGGTGCAAAGACCAATAACAGCAGCATTTAAACGACCTTTATCAGGTAATTCAGATCGGTCCAAAGCAATGACACAAGTTGTAGGAGTTTTTAAACCTACGTCTGTATTCTGTTGTTGATGCGCCGGCTTTAAAGTTATTGAGCCCTGGTGCCTACGACATCCCATCACCTCAACACTTCAGCCAAAAAGTTGTAGCAGCACTTTATGAAAAAGCTAAAACTGATATTGTCAACAAGCCCTGGAGCCCAGATTAAGGCCCTGCTCTGATGATGATGATGATGAACGAGAGAATATTCAACCACCGATGACCGTTCAAGAAGAAGTATTATTATTATTATCGAATGAACTTTTTTTATTTTAAAATATCTTATTAACTCAGGGTTTTTTTTTTTTTTTTACCTCTTTGTGTTGTTTGCAGTCTGAGGATGTCATTGAGTTCCTCTTCAGGGAAATCATCCACCAGAGATCACCTCCAGCTGAGAAGTCTGTGATGACTGAACTCTGAACTTTTCCAGGTACAGGAAGTAGCAAGTCCCTTCTGGAGCAGGTCCAAGAAGAGGTTGTGAGTTAAAAAATGGCCTGTTGCTGCTTATTGTTCTGGTTCTGATTGTTATTGTATTTATTAAGATTTTTATTATTGTTAGTATAGTTTGTTTATTGTAAAGAGTGCCATTTATTTAAAATATCATCCAAATGTGTTCATTTTATTTATTTTTATACAAACGTATTGTTTACTTGGCAACATTTTGTAAGTCTTTATTTTGGCCTTTTTTGTACCGAAAATTAACCGAACCGAGCCCTCCTTGAAACTGAACTGAACTGAAATGTGATTTTAGCGTACCATTACACCCCTAATAATCAGTGAAGGTTTTAGGTCAGTTGTGAGCTCAGTGAAGACTTGACATGTTTCTGGGTAATTTGGGGTAAATTATGCAGCAGCTAATTTATGTTTTAATGACACTGGCTCAAAAATGCAGACACAGTGAAAAGGGCCAGGCCTTTAATCATAAAAGCGCCTTTGTGTGGATTGGAGTCGTCAAGTCATCTACTCTTACCCTCAGTTGGAGGCGAGGCGAGGCTGGAGGTGGGTCTGTGATGTAATCATCACCGGCAGTGATGCGCAGGAAGTCGATGTGTTTCGGTCGGGAAGGATGAAACAGAGACCTGCATCGAGACAGAGACTCCTCCACCTCCTGCTGCCAGGTCTCCTCCTGTCTCTGCAGAGCTTCATCTGGAGAAACGAGGGTCACAAATCACCACATTTATAAATCTAACTCGTTCATTCTCTGTTGCTTGATCCAGAGTGGGGTCGTGAGGGCCACAGTTAGCCTCCTGTGTCTAGTACTCTCATCAGTGCACAAAAAGTGTGCAGTTTCCTTTCAGGAGTTATTTGACTATTTTTATAAGATTTGATAATTTTGTAATTTTTACCAGAACATCCAATATAGTACAGTCAGGTCATCTGGACTGTTTTATTTATTTATTTATTTTAGAAGTTTCCTTCATCCAAAGGACTTTGTCAGTCCGAGGAGCCTCAAACAAACTCAGTCCCACAAGCAGCACTCCAATAGTGGACCAGCTAGTTTGCTGGTGATAAGATGGTTTCTGGGGCCCGCCCTCTCCCCCGTCGACTCCTCTGAGGCAGCCAAAGCCAAAGTGGTCCAGAACCATCCAGATGACCTGACTGAACTTTGTTGGCTTCTTTTTACCTGGATTATTGAGCATGAACTTTGGTGTTTTGAACCACTTTGGCCATGGCTGCCTCAGAAGAGTCGACGGGAGAGGGCCGGCCCTAGAAACCATCTGGTTGGTTCACTATGAGAGTGTGCTGCTTCTGAGACTGTTTGTGGCTCGAACTGATGAAGTCCTTTGGATGAAGGAAAACATGTTGAAAAGAAAAAGAAACCGTCCAGATGACCTGCTGAACTTTGTTGGATTTTTAAAATCTGGATTATTGAGCATGAACTTTGATGTTTTAATGGAACAGTTTTAAAGGTGGTCGTATTTTCTAACAACCTTGCCTAGCGGCTCCTCAGCAGAGCAGTTGAAAACAAGAAATGTGAGGAGTGTAGTTCACCCAATTTTCCACATAATTAAGTCCACAAAGTTCTGAGCAATCGCTCAATATTTGGTGCCTAGCTTGCGAGACCATGCTTCTGACAGGGGCTTGTGCACAGAACTGGATCTGGGAGGTGATGCTAGAAGAAAATGCGACATTGGCAATCTGATAAAATATAAACCAGATTTTCTAGATGCAACTGCTCCCTCTTGATGCGGATTAGGGTTTTCCAAGTTTCTCCCAGTGAACTTGAACCTCTCACCCTGAAATAGTTTCAGTTTGGCTGCACACGTCATGGCTCATGGCGTCATCTCTTGTTTTTTTTGTTTAGTGTTTCTGACCTGTTGTTCTGTACCTTTACTTTGTTTTGTTTTTGTCTTCAACCCAGTTAATGCCCAGCCTTGACATTTACCCCTAAACCAAAGTAATCTCCTTTCTTTTCTACTGCGTCCTCACTCCCAGAGTCTAATCTGTTCCTGTCAAAGACAGAAACAAATGTTTTTCTGATTCCTGCAGTAACTTGAGGTCTGTGCAGATCCTGGGCTGCAGTGATTTCCACATCAGTGGCTCAGTGATTCTTCATGACTGAGTGAATGCTTTAATCAGAAAACGGTGATTATTTTCAGACTACTACACATCCTGCAGATGTAGGGTGAGTGGAGTCTGCAGCAGCAGAACAGACCAAACAATCGGGCCGTTTGAATTGATGTGTAAATCTGACGGTCAAAGTCAGCATGCTTCTGTTTTTCCTCTGATCTTCCTCTGAACTCAACCGCTAAAAGTAAGTCACGTTGTTTTTACTCTGACCTTTGAAGATGTTTTAACTCTGTATGCCTCTTTAATCCATTTCATGCTGAATTACTAAAGCACATAAAGAAACAGCTCATTGACAGTCACATCGTGAACCCATCCATCCATCATCTTTACCCGCTTCTTCCTTTTCGGGTTGCGGGGGTCACTGGTGCTCATGTCCAGCAGTCACTGTGCGAGAGGCGGGGGACACCCTGGACAGGTCTCCAGTCCATCACAGGGACACATAGAGACAAACAACCATTCACTCTCTCACTCACACCTAAGAACAATTTAGAGTTATCAATCAGCCTAACATGCATGTCTTTGGTTTCTGGGAGGAAACCGGAGCACCCGGAGAAAACCCGCGCATGCACGGAGAGAACATGCGAACTCCACCCAGAAAGGCCCCCCAGCCGGGATTTGATCCGGCAACCTTCCTGAGTCACCGTGCCATCTAAAACATATATAATTAAAACATAAATAAATTAAAGCTCTCATGATCCTTGCAGGACTGCACCCCTTTAATGCCAGAGTTTAGACTAGCTTTTTTTTTTCTCGCTACTTTTCCTTTTAATCACCATTTTATCTTCACTTGTTTAAATAAATAAATAAATAAAATTTGTGCACATCCTTTATGATTGTCTATTGTTGTTGTTGTCCACTGTTGTCATCGCTCTTTGTTCAAATTCAGGTCTCTCTTGTAAATGAGTCCCCGAGGCTCATTGAGACTAACCTGCATAAATAAAGGTTGAATGAATAAGAAATGAGGACGTTGTAGCCGTTTCGGTCGATCCTTTAAAAGATCACATCGACTTTAATATGCTCAGGGGATGAAAAAGGGTTGTAAGCTCAATCATACAGGTAGATAACAAAAGTTAAATCGTGTCATCTGGACCAGTTCCTTTACGTGAGAAGCGTTTCATCCCCCATCCAGAGGACTTCCTCAGTCCTGCCAACCAGATCTGTCCCATAGGTAGCCTTCACTGCTGTGTTTCAAGCCAACCGCCTGCCGGAAACTCAAAAGTAGGCTTTTTTGTTGCCTTTCTGTTGTTGTTTTGTTGTCCAACCTTTTTTGCTGTTATCTACCTGGATGATCGAGTTTATAACCTTTTTCTGAACCGTTTTGGCCTTGGTTGTCCTCAGGCTGTTTCTGTGAGTAGCAAGTTGACCATCTGGCCTAAAACATACGATTGTTGTACATGATGATTGATTGTTTTGTATGGGTGTGCTCTATGCACGTGTTAAAAGCCTGCTTTTGAGATTCCAACAGGAGGTTGGCTTGAAACACAGCAATGAAGGCTACCTGTGGGGCAGATCTGGTTGGCAGGCCATAGACTGAGGAAGTCCTCTGGATGGTGGATAAAACGTTTCTCACTTTAAGGAAGTGGTCCATGACATGATTTAACCTTTTTTTGATGTTCAGAGGATGTGTTGTCAATGACTTTCAGCTGCAACTATATCGGATCTTAACATGATATCTGTAAAACTGATTTAAGGCTAGTTTTGCGTGGTTTTGATAATGTCGATTAGCAGTGGCAGCCGTCTAGAATTGGGCTGACTCCAAATATTAATGACTTAGATTCACAGCTATTGATTACTTTCTGAAAGTTTCATTAAAATTCAACCAGTAGTGCATTCAATATTTTGCTAACGGACAGGCATAAGAGCACAGACATGGACAGAAACGGTAACGCCTTTCATCTTAGGTGGCGAGCAATAAACATGCTATCCTGTGAACGACATCATTTTGGATTTCAACTTTTGCATGTTTGTACACAACATCAAACATGGGACTTCAATGATCTGCAAATTATAAGCTCTCCGTTTTTATTTTTGTTTTACAGAAGGAGCCACCTGCTCTGGAAATTACATCACAGTTGAATAAATGAAACAGTTCTAAGTGATTTAAAAAAAAAAGTTATTTTAAACCCATTTGGAACATTTGAACCAAAAACATGAAGGTTTATTCTGCCTTCAGGCCTGTAGGACTCTGTAGTAACTAATCTCAGTGGGTTTTTCCTGGTTCAATAAAGGTAATAAATAAATAAAAGAACCACAGTAATTTCAGGTAATGCAGGCAAACTCAGGATGATGAGGATGTAGTGCAGGTGCTGCAGCCAGACAGGTCAATCATTTAAAAGCTTCTGAAAACGGTAAACAAGCTCGAGTGTTTTTCTTTGCTGCTCCGCTGCGCTCGCTGTAATGTTTGAAACATATATCGTAGAATACCCACCAACAGGCTCGCAGTTTGTTTCAAATTGTTCGGAACATTTTTACCTGAAGACAGCAGATAATCTGTCCACCACCTCAACTGCTCCCGTGTTTCACTCCCGTCATTTTCTGCTCCTCCTGGGGTTCTGGTGACACTTTTACAGCCTCCGGTCTCTGAAGCAATCATCGAGTCTTTCCCTGAGTGGGTCCCGATGCTGTTAGCATCTGAAGTTTCTGTGTTTTGCTGATGAGTCCAGACGGACAGCCTGGCTGGGAGAGAAGACGACAGGATGGGGGACAAAGTTTCCTGGCTGCTGGCTTCAGACAGGGGAGGTGAGGGGACCTCAGCCCTCCCTGACAGACAGTTTGGTGATGGAGCAGCACAGGTGAAGTAGTGCGGATTCAGGGGCTTTTGTTTCATGTGGCCCTCATCTTCAACTTTTTCTTCCTCCATCTTCACGACCTGGGGCAGACTCTGGCTCAGAGCGTCAACCATCACACTCCTGGACTCCACCCAGGACGAGAGTTGAATTTTTTTCTGTAGAGTCTTTTGCGAACTTCTTGCTGAAGCCAGCGTCACTTCATCTCTGCCGTCGCTGTCTTCTCTCGTCCGTTCTGAGCTGGTGACACTGATCCGACGAAGGATCCCTTCCACCTCCTGGATCTTGGTCCTCACTCTCTGCGCTGCAGCCTCCTGAGCAGACTTCACGTCTACAGTTTCATGTTTTTGTCTCGTAGCATTAAAGATGGAAAACATCTCATTGTCATAGTCTGAAAGGTCTGAGTCCTCCATTGCAGAGGAATCCCTTCTGAAAGGGTAATGACTTTTCTTGCTGAGCGATCTTACAGAAGAAGCATCATTTTGCGTCGTCCTACAAACTGGCTTGAACATCGGAGATGAAATCCTTTTTTCTGCTAGAAGATCCTCTCCAAAGATGGAAGAACTTGTTCCGTTGCGTTTGAGCTGTTCATTCTCCTTCAGAGGTGCCTGTTGAGTCCCTGCTGTCAGTTCCCTTCTCCTCCTCCTCCAATGGATGAAGAGTGTTGGAGATACTGTTGAAGCATCCCAGTTCTGCCTGTAACAGTTTGTTTTTGTCCCGTGTTGATTTCCCATACTCTGAAAATCCTGGCAGAATGTAAACAATTATTTTTGCTTCGAGGGTTTCCTCAAGGCTGAAGTTGTCGGCCTGATTAACCAAATCCTTAGAGGTCGGTCTTTGTTGGTGCAGAACGATGCTTCAGAGGGGGGTGGGGGGTGGACCCAGAAAAAAAAGGACAAATATGCAAATCATTTTTTTTTTTTTTTTATCTTTAAAGAAGAACAAGTGCTTTTTGTGATGCATTTTGCATTTGATTCACACTAACTGATGCTTAAAGACTATTTAATTACACATTTGCTGCGCGACAAACTTCATGCTCTGACCCAAGTTTTACTCGTCTGCCAAGCCATTTTCTGTATTTTAAGAATTAAATGCATAAGTGCAAAACAATAAACACAAAAAAATAACTGCTAAAGCGCTCAAAGTTTGACTTCCTGCCTTTATTTTAGTGTAAATATTTGATCAGAAACTGAAAAAAAAAATCTGTTCACTTACTTGTGGTGAACTGTAGCATCCCTCCTTGAATCAGCATTTATTTTACCTGCAGTGATGCTCAGACACACCTCCTGCTTCAGTTTCAACGTTTCCAGTCAGCTGGCATTAATCCTCAGAGCAGTCTCCAGAAAAGCAAAGAAACCAGCAGACGGTGCGGGTTTGGCCTAATTAGTCTGATCTTCTGGACTCCGGTTGATGCCTGAATACACACAGGGTGGACTCCGTAGGAGTAAATCTTTCAGGATACATTTTCACAATCATCCAGAATTTACTAAAATAATCTCACAGTTAGTATTTGTTACCGCTAAGAAATTGTGCGCAGCTTGTGAGTTAATCTTAAGCGTAAATCCCTCTTGTGTAAATCACATCTGCTCCTAAATCCTTCGACTCTGTTTAGATCATCAGCACACAGTAAATCTGACCACCGACCACCAGCGCCTAAATAAAACAAACGTCTGTTTGTGTGACCGAAAGAACAAACTGCTGATAAGTGAAAGAGAGAAGATCGATAGCAGTAAATTAATTTACTGGTAAACAGAACAAACACGGTGGAGTCAAAATATAAGCATGATTGCAGGATTTAATCTGGGACATGATTACAATTTATTAACGCAAAGCAAATGTGAACACTTCAAATATGTGAAATCAGGTGCTCTCAGTAACCTGACACTTTAAAATAAATGTTGTTAAACTTGATAACATTAACAAACTGAAATTCCTTGATGAATGCATGTTGGTAACCACCTTTAAAAATAAAGGTTTAAATTCAAACCAAATTAAACCTTACACCAAAGTTAGTCATGGAGTTCCTCAGGGGTTAGTGCTTGAACCAATACTCTTTATATATGCTTCCATTAGGTAAAGTTATTAAACAGCATGGGATACATTTTCATTGTTATGCTGATGATATACAGTTATAATTGTCCATGAAACTGAATGAATCCAATCAGCTACTTAGACTACAAGCATGTCTTATAGACATAAAAACCTGGATGACCCTAAATTTTCTGCTTTTAAACTCAGACAAGATTGAGGTTTTGGTTTTTGGACCTAAGCAATTTAGAAATAATTTTTTCAGTCTTTCACCAACTCTAGATGGCGTTAATCTGGCCTCCAGTTCTAATGTTAAAAACCTTGGTGTTACTTTTGATCAGGACATGTCTTTTATCCCCCACATTAAAAACATCAGAACCATCCAACATTTTTCAGTCAGGTCATCTGGACAGTTTCTTTTTTTGTTGTGCTGAAACGTTTTACCTTCCATCCGAAAGGTTTCATCAGCCAAGGAAAGACACAACACAAAACTGATTCTTCCCCCAACAGCTTACTCCAAAGTGGAACAAACCAGTTATGTTGGTGCCAAGATGGTGTCTTTGGCACCGCCCCCTCCTCCGTTGCTGGCCCTCTTCCTCGTCGACAGTCAGTCGAACCAGTTTGACATGATGGAGTCATCATTTTGAATAAACCTCGTAAATAATGTTGAGCTCAATCTCGTGAGATTTTACAAACTGTGATAGTGCTCTGAGTATGTGTTGTATACAACTCTCAGCTACAACCACACCAAATTTCAGCTCAATATCAATAAAAATGACTGATTAATATTCAGTTTTGTGTTTGATAAGTTCAATAAGCTGAAAAGGCCATCTTTAAATGGGTGGAGTCCAAACGTTAAAGAGTTTTAGAAGTACATTGGATGATTACTTTCTGAAAGAGTCATTTAAATCTGTCCAGTGGTTCATGAAATAATTTGCTAACAGATAACTTGTTTCTTCAACGAACGACGTTTCTTACAACTTCAAAAGAGCACTTATATGCTTTTATCATGGCTGCTCATTTTCAGAACCCCTTCACATAAATCACGTTTTGTCTTTATAAAAAATGAATTATTTTGTCCAATAGTAAATTTGTCTCATGCTGAAACTTCTGCATTCAATGAACTTTCCTGCTCCACCTCGGTATTTTAGGACAAATCAAACAAATAACATAGTTAAAGATTAACTGCCATAAAAATTTTTTTTTATTTAGACTCGTTCAGCCTTGAAAAACACGAGCCACATGTGAGGGATTATTTAAAACCAGTGTGATGAGAAGGAATGCATTTTGTTTTTAATGAACGATTCAATCTTCTTGCACACACAAGGTTGTGACAGCGCACATGATTTAAAACTGGAATCATAAAACGTAAAAAAAAATAAACCTTTAAGCACAATAATTTTTCTGTGCAGTGGAAGATTAAACTGCACGTAAGACCAAAGTCCTGCTGGCTGAGAGCATTATTGAAAATTCAATTTGACAGAGCACAACTGAAAAGTAATGAGGGTCGTGCATCATAAAGTTGTGTGCTCTGTTTCTGCAGATGGCCTCTAGATGTCAGCCACATATAGACACAAGAAGTTTTCCCTCTTCGTCACCTGACACATGGACTTGATAGAGCTCAGGTATGTTTCAGTTCAAGCCAAATGTATTTCTTTCTGAGCAACTTTTAAAATCACGATGAAATATTTTTCATTTTCAAGCACTATTTATAAAATATGGACTGTGATTTTAATTGTCTATAAATCCTTATTAAAACAACTAATAGAATCAACACAGTACATATTTAAATGAACACATTTTTTAACTTTAGAAATCAGTAAATCATTAAGGGTAGAGAAGTCTAATATGAATGTCTTCATGGAAGACGAGATGAAATTAGGCAGCAAACAATTAATTCACTTTATTTCTACAGCCCTAATTCACAGCAAACGACATCTCGGTGTCTTATAAAAAAAAAAAGATCCTGATCAATGATCCAGATTCAAATCCAGTTGCAATCATTTCATTCCTGCTATAATACGATATTCACATTACCGTATTTTTCAGACTATAAAACACTTAAAATCCTTTATTTTCTCAAAAATTGACAGTGAGTCTTGGGTATTAATCCTGGTTGTACTTAACTGAGCTCGAACCGATTTTATGTGGTACATCTGAACAGTGTTGAGAGTTATTGTGAATGAGTTGAATAAAGTTTGACTTATCTGACTGTTTTGTTTTGCTTAATCTGCTTTATAATCTGGTGCGCCTTATAGTCCACTGGGACCCTGTGTACATAGTTTTAGTCCACCTCATGTACCACATGTGATGTGAATGACAATAAAGAACCTTGAATCCTTGAATTGAATCCTTGAATATCTGAAAGACAACAGATTGTGTTGGATCTTCACTTTGTTGCAGTTTTCTATCTGGAGCAGCATGATCTAGAACTGCGCTGCTCGGGGTGGCTGCATGTTCGAGCAGCTCTGTTACTTTCATTCTGAGTTATTACTTTTGAAAACTTTAATTCCTCTTTTTTTTCTGGATGTAAATCACTTTTTTTCAGATGATTATTTTCTCTGGTATTAGATGATGTGCAGCTGAAAGGATTTTTACTGAAACCCTTGTACTTTTGGGCATTTGTTATGATGCGTAACCATGGCAACAAGGTGTTATTTTTTTTACTTTTTACAACCGGGAGCAGCTGATTAACATCGCAAAAGCTCAAACACCTCATCTACAGCCCCAAATAACAAATGAGTTGAAAAGGAGGCACCATGGACGAATTCCCGTCAACCTGCCGGCAATGCTCGAGTACCTGACCACTGAGATCCTGGAGCTGGTGGGAAACTCAGCTCGTGACAACGGGAGGACCAGGATCATCCCCCGGCACCTTATGCTGTCTGTCCATGGCAACGAGGAGCTCGGCAGACTGCTGGGAGGAGGGACCATCGCTCAGGGAGCAATTCTGCCCGGTATTTGAGCAGTTCTGCTGCCCAGGAGGACCTAGAGGACCACCTTCCACCCAGATCTGACAGCAAGCTGGATCCGGGTGGACGGATAGGTATCTGTTGCCAGGTTCTTCGAATTCGCTACAGAAGATCCTTCCTGCCCACAACTATCAGCGTCTATAACAACTCTTGAATGAAACCAGGATGAAGAGCTACGACAACACTTAATTTCCCTTTGGGATTAATAAAGTATTTTTGAATTGAATTGAATGCTGGCAACGGTGGAGAGGAACAACTATATTTTAAAGGAGAAGAAGCTTCCAGCAGAACCGGGATGGTCAGCCATCTACCTCGACTGTCTGCGTTAGAGAGGAAAGAGTATGTCTGCTCCAGGTGGAGTTGAAAAAGAACAAGAAACTGTTTACTGGCAGCAATATGTGCAAACACTAACGTAAAAAGTAATAAAGACAGCAGCAGAGTGAGGAGATGTGCTCAGTTTGTCCTCCAACAGTCTAAGCTTATCATCAGCTAAGGGATAGCTCAGTAAACCCAAACCACCAACTATAGGCTTTATCAAAAAAATAAAGTCTTAAGAATTGTTTTAAAAGCAAACAAAGTGTCATTCTCATGGACAGAAACTGGAAGTTAGTTCAAAAAAAGTGAAAGCTCTACCTCCCATTTTAAAATCTCTAGGAACCACAAGTAAACATGCAATCTTGATAACAAAGTGCACTGTTGGGAAACTATGAGCCAATAAGGTCTTTATTATAAGATGGAGCTTGGTTAGAAGATAATCGACTTGGAGCCATGGAGAGAAGCTAAAACTGGAGAAATACGACCTCTACTTCCAGCTCTCATTAAGACTCTGGCAGCAGCATTTTGGATCAACTGAAGACGTTTTAAAGAAGTTTTTTGGACACCCAGAATAAAGAGTTACGTCAGTCCAGCCTTGAAGTCATGTTTCCAGTTCACCAGTTTGTGTTCATGATTTTAGGATGTTTCTGATTTAGTAATATTAGATGGAAGAAATGATGCTTTGTCAGGCGTAATGTCTGACTGGGTAATGCCGAGTCATCATCCACACTACTGTTGTGCAGTTTATACTTTCTGTATATTTTTGGACCATATTTATTTCACCTAAATGAATCACTCGTGTATCAAATTGTACGACATGACATTGTGACAATTAATTGTCTATGATATTTGTAACTTTTAAACAGTTTGATTATTTTCCATGGAATTCAGTGGAGAACTTTTCAAATATCATAAGCTGTACTTCAGCATATTAGCTTCATTTTCAGCTTTTAGCTACTATTTTTCTTAGCTTTAAGCTACAGTTCTGCCACTATTACCTTTTGGCTACTTTTTTGGTAGTTTTAACTGTTAATGGGTGTTTTTACTTTTAGCTTTTAGTTACTGTTTATTAATTCTTGCAAGCACATTTAGCTAATTTTGGATTTGAGCTACTGTTTTGATCACTTGAGCTTTTAGCTAATGTTTGGCTTGTTCTAGCTTTAATGAGCTGTTTTGCTAATTTGATTTTTAGTAATATTTTGTTTTTTTTGCTATGTTTTGATAGTTTTAGCTTTTAGGGCCAGCTGTGGCTGAGTGGTTAGAGCAGTCGTCCTCCATTGTGAGAGTTGGGGGTTCGATTCCACCAGCAGTCACATGTTGAAGTGTCCCTGGGCAAGACACTGACCCCCATTGCCTCCGATGTGTGTCCCATCAGTGTATGAGTGTGATCTAAAGCACTGATTAGTCTTTGTATAGGTCTAGTAGAGTGCTGTATGAATGGGTAAATGAGGACACAGGTCGTGTTGTAAAGCTATTTGAATATCTTGACTAGCTAGAAAGGCGCTATAAGTACAGTCTATTTAACATTTTTAGCTTCTTTTGTGTTCATTTTAGCTACGTGCTACTGTTTTGCACCATTTAGCTTTTAGCTACTGTATGGCTTGTTCTAGCTTTTATCTATTATTTTTCTGATTTAATTTTTAGTCACTGTTTTGTTCATTTTTTAGCCATGTTTTGATAGTTTTAGCTTTTAGCTAAGCTAAATTCTTTACCTAAAGAGCTGCAGGTGGACTACAGGATGAAGACCCCCCCCCCCCCCACACACACACACACACACTATCAACATCAAGGATACTAAGGTGGGCACTGTGGACTGCTGCAATTACCTGGGGGTCCACCACTGGACAGCTAACACCAACGCCCTCTACAAGAAAGGGCAGAGTCGCCTTTCTCTTCTGAGGAGACTCAGGTCCATGCTGCAGATGTTTTACCACTCGGTGGTCTCCAGCGTCTTCTTCTACACTGTGGTGTGCTGGGGCAGCAGGGTGAAGAAAGATGATGCCAGCAGAGTTGATAAACTCATCAGGAGAGCTGGCTCAGTTCTGGGAGTGGACCTGCAGTCTCTGACAGAGGTGTCTGAGCAGAGGATGCTGAGGAAACTGCTCCAGATCCTGAACAACACGTCGCACCCCCTGCATGACACCCCAGACTCTTGCTGCACCTTCAGTCGTAGACTGAGACCACCCAGGTGCTCCACAGAACACCACTGGAAGTCCTTCCTCCCTGTGGCTGTTAAACTTTTCAGCTCCTCCCTCTTTCTGTGCATAGGACAATAAAATTAATCCTGCACTACAATAAACACTTTAATGTTTCTGTCTGCACCTGCTTAGAACTTCATTACTGGTATTTTTATATCTTGTGTGATTCCTTATTCATTCGTACTGAACAATGAGCAGGATCAGTAAAGCTCTGTCTTATCTCTTAGCTACTTTTCTGTTAATTTTAGCTTTGGGTTATTCTTTTACACAATTTATGCTTTTAGCTACTGTTTGGCTTGTTTTAGCTTTTATCTATTATTTTGCTAATTTGACTTTTAGTGTATTTTGTTCATTTTTTTAGCCATGTTTTGGTAGTTTTAACTTTTTTGCTTTAGTAGCTTTTAGCTTTTGTTTAGCTAACTTTAGCGTTTGTTCTCCTTGTTTCGCCTTAAACAATTCAGTTTTAGCTTCAGCAAATTTCACATTTATTTCCAGCACTTATAACTTTCATGTTTGTCAGCAAATAAAATATTTAAAAAATAGTATTTTTTTGTGATTCAGGCTGTCTCCAGATTAGGTTTTAGCTACTTTTATGTTCATTTTAGCTTTGGGTTCTGTTTTGCACAACTTAGCTTTTAGCTACTGTTTGGCTTGTTTTAGCTTTTATCTATTATTTTGGCTAATTTGACTTTTAGTAACTATTTTGTTCATTTTCTTAGCCATGTTTTGGTAGTTTATAGCTTTTAGCTGCTTTTGTGTTTATTTTAGCTTTGGGTTACTGTTTTGCACAATTTAGTTTTTAGCTCTTATTTGGCTTGTTTTAGCTTTTATCTATCATTTTGCTAATTTGACTTTCAGTAACTCTTGTTAATTTTTTTTAGCCATAGTTTTAACTTTTTTTGCTATGGTAACCTTTAGCTTTTGTTCCCCTTGTTTTGTCTCGAACAGTTGCGTTTTAGCTTCAGCAAATTTCACGTTTATCTCCAGCCCTTACATGTTTGTCAACAAATAAAATATATATATATTTATTTTTTCTGAGATTTAGTCTGTCTCCAGATTAGGTTTTAGTTCTTTGCTGTATGGATGTGAGCTGTCATTTATTCATCAGACTCTGAATTCAACAAGCTAAAGTCGAGCTGTGTCCTCAGCTGCAGCATCAGCACCGGGGGCGGGGGGGGGGTTGCTCCTCAGCCTCCCCGGCTCTGGCCGTCGTCTGCTCCGCACTGCTACTGCTGCTGGGTGCAGAGAGGAGGAGGAGGAGGAGGAGGGG